AAATTTTTATTTTTTAAAAAGAATTATCTTTTATTGTAATACAAATTTTTCACTTGTTTTATATGGTTATCATTAAACTTCACCCTTATGAACAGACGTTCGCAGTTATAACTGCATAAAAACTAAAACATGACTGAAATCAATCAGAAGACATTGTACCACTGATTTATTTAAATACTTTTTACTGCTGTTGAAGAGATGTCGAAAATTTTAGCAACTAAAGACAACAGATTACTAAAAGCATTCAGCGATCAATTATCCCACACAGTAAATACCACCAAATTTTAATTGTTTATAGTATTAAATGATAAATTTGCAATAAGACTTTTGAAGCAATGATTTGCTCTTTAATGTCTGTAAAAGTTGTTTTATTATTATTCAAATTATTTGCAAATAAAAATCCTATTCTGAACAGTGACTTTCATCAAATACTTATAACATTTACCAAAAAATTTGTTCAAGTAAGTAAAATTCAAAAAATTTTGAACATTTTTACTACCATAAAAATTACATATGCCAGTGACGTCAAAAATGAATCTGAACACCAAAAAAAGTTATTGATATAATAATCATCTTTTAAAATACAATAATTTTTTTTTAAAATATAATATACTGTTGAGAGGTACAACAAAATTGGTAATTCATAAAATTTTTCAAAAGCTTTACATAGTTTATTGGCTTACTTTTCACTAGGTAAAAAAGATTGTTTAATGTCACATAACACTTAAAACTTCGTTTATTTTCTCAAAATTTTTTTAAAACTGTTCAAATTTTGACTGGTTTATTCTCAACGATGACCAAAGACTATACGGTGGTTTTCAATAATTCAGTAAAAACAGATGACAGTTTATCGTCGGAGTAATAGTTAAAGTCTGCTCTTTTTTGTACATAGAATTTTTTCAACTTTTTTTACTGTCGTCACAAAGTATTCATGTTATAGCACAAGAAGGTTGATAAAGCCAGAATATACTGTATTTGACTACTCTGGAGCCATAATTGTCAGTGTTGTATTCCTTCTAATTCTATTTATTCTGGCACTTGCTATCAACTTTATGTGCATAAGCGAAGAAGACAATCCAACAACGTTTGAGCAGGTTTTAATTAGTTTACTTTGGAAGGCATTTTCGCAAAACGACAAAGTAGTTGGGTTATTGGTTTTTTTAATTAAAAAAATTATACAGAGTTTTAATTAAAAACTATTTTATAGTTTGCTGCAAAATATAAACGGCAATTTGGTCCACATACCGTCGAGCAGGTAGAAGCATTTGTAAGGGAAAGGCAGCGTTTTGATGATGAAACTACGATTAGCCAAGAAGAAGATTTAGTAGATAAAAAATCTATTGTTTGATTACTAAGACTGTCGGTCATAAAAAGTTCCTTTTATTGCTCGTATTTTACAATTAATAAACTCTTGGTTTGTTGTTTCTTTATTTATAATATTGACACGGCATGAAAAACTTATGTCTCACCTAAGAATGAATTTATAACAATTATTAATAATTATCTTTAATTTAGTTTTTTTTAAATTCACAGTCTGATTTAAAATGACTGTTACAGAAGATTTTGGCAAAAAAGTT